CTCTTCCCTTTCCCCCACCTCGCTTCCTCCCACCCACTCCCGGCCGGCACTCCGGCTTCCCCCGCCAGCGCCGACTGCAGCCCGCGCGCCGCGCGCATCCATTCATGCAGGCCCCTCCTCCCGCCTGCTGGCCGGCCGGGCGGCCCGCCCCGCCCCACGCACCTAATTGACGGCCGCGCCTGCCAATCACAGTGCCTCCGGCCCTCGGCAGTCTCGCGCCTGGCGCAGAGCGCACCCTGGTGGTCCTAGTGGGTATCAAACTGCTGGAGCGCGTTGAGTTGTCGGTCTGGACCACCAGCGAATGGACGCAGCCCTTTTTCAGAAGGCGCTCAGAAAATGTACAGATATATAAAACATAGGGTAAGGTGTGCAATGCTAATTACAAAAGAGATAGAAACAACTAGGATGCGCAGAAGAGGGAGGAAGACTGCATCTGTGAATAATCATTGGGGAGATCATGTTTGCATTGGGCTTTGGAGGATGAGGAAGACCCTAATTGCTGCAGACATGAAAGGTGAAAGGCAGGTGAAAGGCATTTGGGGGCAGAGGCCCTTAACAACGTTCAGAGTCCATCTAGCTGGGTGTGAAATGGAGAGGCGGGAGAAGAACGCCGTCTGGGCTCTGTCTTCTGGTGGGGTCCTCAAAGATGATGTAGTGGACATCTGTTTCTTCTGCCAGCCTGTCTCCACTCCTCTTCTTCAAATATAATGCCTTGTTTTCTTTTGAGGAACCACCCTTCCTCTGCTCTCAGTCCAAGTGGAGCTGAACTTCACCCCCATCCCAATGGGCCCCATGACCCAGGCCTGGCCAGTCACAGCATTTTCTCCCTCTCTCTCAGAGACTGATTTAGGGATTGTTACTTTAACCAAGTTCAGGCCATATGACTAATTCCCAAGGATTTCACTAGAACAATCAGGAAAGAAGCACTCTTTCTCTCTCTCTCTTTTTTTTTTTTTTTTTTTTCTCTCTCTCTTTTTTTTTTTTTTTTTTGAGAACTTTTTTGCTATAGGGTGCGTGCGCTCGCCAGAAAGTCAGAGAGAGACAAAGAGACAGAAAGCGAGAAATCACCCCCCAAGGGGGACCGCAATCCCTTCTCCATCCTCCTCTCAGGATCGTGGGTATGCCTGCACGCGCCTAGCGTGAGTTTAAGCTACCAGGTCCGGGACTCAAACTGCAGTCGACTACATGGGCATGGGAATCCAGCGACATAGCCATTACATTAACTGCTAGTCCCAGGAAAGAGGCACTCTCCATTTGAGCTGCTGAATGCTTAGAATGTAAACTTCCAGCTGCTGGTTGTCACCCTTTACACCTCAAGCCTGCCTGAGAAAAAGGCCAATGCAGAGGAAAAGAAAAGCTAGAGACAGAATCCTAATGACATACCGAGAACCTGGATCTAACTGTCCCTGAAGTTGTCACCTAGACTCTTCATTTGTTCAACAAATATTGATCGAAAATCTCATGATATGTCAGATACTGTTCTGGGCATTGAAGATATATTTGTGAACAAAATTGGCATTCATTTTTATCTCTCAGAATTTACATTCTGAGTAGGAAGAGAGATGGACAATCAATTAAATAATAATGTATAGATGTTAGCGATCACTCAATAAAAAGTAAACTGAAAGAAGATTGAGATGTTCGAGGAGCTGAGATTTGACATAGGAAGTTGGGTGTACTGGCATGTGCCCATTGTCCCAAGTACTTAAGAGGCTGAGGCAGGAGTATTGCAACATAGTGAGAGCCTGAAAAAATAAAATAGAAATAAAGAGGGCCAGCTCCATGGAAGGCAGTGATGGGCTGCTGAAGAAAAGCCAGATCCCACATAGTGGCCACAGTTTGAATCCCCGGCCCAGTCAGCCTGAAACACTCCAAGCACATCTGTGAGAGCCAAGGGTCTAATGGGCTGGAGGACTGGAGGAAGGGGGTGATGTTAGGACCAAGCCCTGTGGAGAGTGCTTCCCCATCTGTCTGTCTCTCTCTCAGTCTCACTCTCACATAGGTGCACATGCTCTATGATGAATAAAGGAAAATAAGTTAATTAAATATTTTAAATAGGGTGATCAAGGAAGTCCTTCCTAATAAGAGCATCTGCTTAAAGATCTGAAGGCTGGAAGGAAAGCAGTCACATGGCTATCTGGGGAGGGGGGCAGGTGCAGACTATGCCTGATGTGTTAGAGAAACAGCAAAGAGGTCAGCGTGGCTGTAATAGAATGAGCAAAGTAACCAAAGTCATGTTGTCCAGAGTATTGTAGGCTATTGCAAGGACTTCAGTTTTTCTTTAAGTAGCACAGGTCGCCACTGGAGGACTTGAAGCAGAGGAGAGACATTATCTAACCTATATTTTATACCAGGATGATTCTGGCTCTTGTGTTGAGAACAAACTGATGAAGTATGGGCAGGGGGGTCCACTTAGCAGGCAAAAATTTAGATATTTTTTAAAGCATGAAATATATATATTTTTTACTTTATGTATTTATTTATTTTCATTTCACCAGAGAGATGCAGAGAGAGAGGGAGAAAGAGAGAAAGGAAGCTACCAGGTCCAAGACTCAAACCGTGGTCGGCCATATGGGAGTCCAGCGCCCTTAACCACCACACCACTTGCCAGCCCCCAATATTTTCTCTCTTTCTGCAAGATAAAACTAGAACATTTTTTTAGATTTTTTTTTTTTGCCATAGGACGCCTGTGCTCACCAGAGAGAGACAGAGACAGGAAAAGTGAGAAATCACCCCTCAAGGGTGATTCCCCCCCCCTCAAGGGGGACGATCACACTGCAATTCCTTCTCCTCCGTTTTTCTCTTGAAATTTTGGGGATACACACACACATACATAGACTTGGTGTGATTTTCAGTCCTCTGGGTCAGAGGACTAGAACTGTGGAGTCAGCCATGTGGGATCCAGTGTCTCAACCACCACATCACCTGCTGGCCCAAACTGCAACGTTTAAATCTGGTATTCAAGGTTCTATAGCATCTTCAAACTCTCAGGCTTTTCCGTCTATTTTTCCTACCTCATCTTGCTCTAATCCTCCAGATGAGCCCTTTTCTTTTGCTGGAATGGTTCATATCCAAACATTAGTTCATTTTTACATTTTTCAAACTTTCTTTTTTAAGTTTTTACCTAGGGTGCGTGTGCTCACTGAAGAGAGACAGAGAGAGGGAATGAGAAATCACCCCCCAGGGGGACGGCCACATCACAATCTTTTATCCTCCATTCTTTTGGGATTTTTGGAGGAGAGGACAAGTATGCTCATGTGCCCTGCCTGATTTTCAAGCCACCAGGACCAGGACCGGAACTTTTTGTAGGAAGCCAGCACCTTACCCACCACACCACGTGCTGGCTCCCATTCTTACGCCTTTAGCTTTGCTGCTCGTGGTAAATAGAATAACGGCTCCTCGAAGTGTTCGTGTCCTAATTCCTAGAAACTGCGAATATGTCATCCTACATGGCAGAAGGGGCTTTGCAGATATAATTAAATTGAGGATTATTTTTTAATGCTCTGAGAGTTTATTTATAGTCAGTGAAAACACGTGGTTCTGTAAAACTTACAGGTAATTGCAAACTCCTTAAACTCACAATAAACATACATTTAAACATTTAAATAGAAGCCCATTTTCTTCTAAAGTAATTTTACTTTTAAGAAATACTGTGCAATATTTCCTTACCCTTTTATGCTAGAGTTCGACTGCGCATAATGCTAATGTGAACGCATCCGAATTAACCCTATCCACTCTCTTTATGCAGTAGACTGTCATATCTAACCACACACCATATAAACTCATACTATTGTTGAAAAATGACAAAAGGCAATCTTTATGAAAGCTTTAAAATAGTTTAATAAACGACAACCAACATTGTACTAATTCCATATAAAAATTATGTCTTCCCCCACCTCTTTCTTCCCTTTGAACAGTACTTTTTAGAGCATGTTAATACAAAAGATATTTATCGCATTTTGCGTAAGGTAGTCCTTTAGAAGGTTGTTTTCTAATATACTGGATTTATCACAAGGCACCAAGATTAAACTCCAGAGTAGTTTCAGATTTTTTTGTGCCTTTTTAGGTTCCTCTAGAATGATTTTCGTCAGAAAAGGGTAACTTTAAGAACTGAAGGAACCAGTAGAAAATGAATGATACAACACAGCAACTTCAAACTTATAGAATTCAAAAGGTACAAATACATTAATAGATTTCTTTTTGTTTTTGTTTTTTTTTTGAGAGATTTTTCGCTATAAGGCGCGTGCGCTCGCCAGACAGACAGAGAGAGACATAGGGACAGAAAGCGAGAAATCACCCCTCAGGGGGGATGGTCACGCCGCAATCCCTTCTCCTCCATTCTCCTCTCGGGATCTTGGGCACGCACGCACACGCGCCCGGCGTGCGTTTTAAGCCACTGGGTCCGGGACATGAACCACGGTCAACTACGTGGGAGTCCAGTGATATAGCCATTACGCTAACTGCTGATTCCCACATTAATAGATTTCTTGAACTTATTACTTAGGACAAAAAGAATAACTTTCTGAACATAAACCTAAAAATAGAGCACACTTAAGAAAACTGGGGCCGGCAGGTGGCGTGGTGTTCAAGGGTGCTGGACTCCCATGTGGCCAATCTCAGTTTGAGTTCCAGACCTGGTGGCTTGCTTTCTCACTTTCCCTCTTTCTCTCTCACTCTGTCCCTCTCTGATCAAAATAAATGAAAGAAATAAATAAAATAGTCCTTTAAAAAATAGGAAAACTCCTTAGCTTATAGTAACAATGTATTAAATCTTACACAGTAACACAGCCAAAAAC